AGGCTCTTGAACACTGTTGTGGTGCTAGCTCCACGTGGAGCTGGGCTGGACCTACCCAGCCACCTCCCAGGGCTCCTGGCCACACAGCAGAACCCAAGGAGGAGGTCACCACGAAACCCTCCTGCTTGATGTCCCCACCCACGTAGCTGGTGTCGCTTCTGGGAACCTGTCGCATAATTATAACAGCCATGGACAGATGTAGTAACCGCAGAGATATCTCCCAGTCAAGTAAGTGAAGCCTTCAGGCACATCCACCTCCCTGCAGCGCTCGCAGCTCCGACAGCAAGCGCCAGAAAAATCCAGCCTGAGGACTGAGCCAAAAGGGAGGAACGTCCCCGACAGGCCCCGCTGGAGCAGCATGGAGCAGCTCCAGCAACCAAACCAACCTCTGGAGTTGCAGGTGAGCTTGGCTCAGCTCATGGAAAAACGGTCCTGCCTGAACCTGGTCTAGATACCTCCTGGCCTGGGTGGCCACCAGCAAGCTGCAGGTCTAGGCTCCCTCACCTCCCATCCTCCACTCTCAGGAGGCCAACTATGGTTGTGCCCACCTCAATGGCAAATCCTTCCAAGACATCAAGAGCTATCCTGGCTCCCCAGCCTGCGTCCTCCACGTCACCAGCAGAGCCAAGGCTGGTTGCAGCCACTGCAGGTCTGTTTCGCTGGGGAACGTGAGGCCCAAAGGGTTATCAAGTTCCAGCGACCTCTCCTCAGCAGATAAGCTTCAGCCTGCATTGCTCCACTGCCTCCCCGCAAAGCCGCCCGTAGCTGGCGGCTCAGGAATGTCTGAACTGCTCCATCCCAGCAGCCTTGAGCCTAAATGATCCGGAGCATCAAAGCATTGTCCAGCAACACGTGCGAGATGAGCTTGGAGATATCCAAGCTCCCTCCATGGCCTATTCCCTGCAAGACCTGCTGCTCCTGGCAGCACAGCATCTTTGTCCCTTGTGTCCAGTGGAACAGGCAGTTCCACTGAGCTCCCCATGCGACTTGGAGCTTTCTTCGCTCGCTTTCAGCCCTTTGCTAGCACTGCGGCTGCAAAATTATACTGAGGCAGCGTGTGCTTCCACCCCCTCTGCCTGCTCATTATTAAGCTCTCATAGTCACTCGGGCTAATGACAATTGCTCCATGTTTTAAGGCAGCTCCTAAGTCATTTTCCGGAGGTCCTTCCTAGGGTTGGCAGGTTCCCTGCTGCTCCCAGCACTGCCACATGCAGTGGTGCTTGATCCAAAGGCCAAGCAAATGCAAAGGCAGCCAGAGCTGAATGCATCGCACTAGATTGCGGAGTGCTGGGGGACACAAACCGCAGGCGGGCCCAAGAACCGAGGGACGTGGTGGATCCAAGTGCATCCAGGGTTTTCGGGCATTTCCTGGGGCTGGGCTGGGTCGGGAAGGAAAGTTCAACTTCCAGGTGTCTGGAAAGGGTTGCCGAACTGCCTGGGCCAGCCCAGGTGGGGACAAGGGAGCAACCAGACAGGTCCTGCTTGTTCCACCCAGCTGCTTTAGGTCGCCCATTCCTGACTCCTGGATAGCCCTCCGCAGGCCATGCTCTTTCCAAGTGCCCCTTGCAGGTTGCCTCCCTTTGACATTTGGCTACACAAGACCCCTTAGGGACACCCATGTCCCTCAGGAGCTGCAGCAGACAGGGGCTCCGTGCGCTGGACGATAAGCAAGCAGGGCTCCCCAACCAGGCAGGACCCCGGTGAGCACAGGCCTCCCCACGGCCCAGGGCGCGAGCCAGCACCTATTGCACCCACCAGCAGTGAGTGAGGTAGCAGGGGGGGACCTCACAACGAGCCCCACTACACCGCTGGCCCTGC